ATCTGGTGGGAGAGCAGCCTGGCTGCTCCTCGGTTTGCAGTTCATCCCGCTCTCTGGAAAAAGGTGACCTCTTCACAAGCATCCTTCTTGGCTAACGTCGTCTGTCACGGTTAGCAGCAAAGCTATAGCCTCTATCGCTCACCCACAAAACACCCCTGGCCCCAAGACTTCGCTGCTAAATGTAACAATTTGTTGGAAAATGGAAAGATCCAGGAGTACTTGGTGTGATGCTGGTGTGAGTTAGCTCTGAGGAGGGAGAGCCAGACAGAGGGACATTTAATTCTGACTAGCGAACACCCAAGCAGAGGTCTGAGGAACAGCCTTTCTCTGGGTAAATTTTTGGGCCGTTTTAGCTGGGTTGCATGAGGAAGCGCATGCTTTCTCCAGCCCAGTAACACATCCAGCCTTGCTGGGGAAGCACTGGCTCTATGCAATCATGCTGTCTTTCCTCCGGAGAAAAGCAATTTCAAACTAATTTGATGGGGGATTAAAAGTTGTCAAATATACTAAATTTAAAGTATTTTGTGCAAATAGGTGGCAAAACCAAAGAAAAACTGACCACAGAAAGCATTCTCCTCCCCAAAGCAAAAGTTTTAGCGTGGCTGCAACCCCTGATAAGCAGCAGAAAGCCCACACAGCAGAGAACTGGTATAACTGCCCAATGCAGGGAATTCTTTAATCAATCAGACTTGTGCCATTCATTTCAGACAGTGGGAATCCAGGCGTGACAGCCAGACCACGGGCCCACTGGCTTTTCTGTTCACAGAAACAAACCTGAAGTTTCTTCACCTCCCTTCAAGTGGCATCATCCAGCTGCCTCCCACCTGGGATCACAGCTTACCTTGGGCCGAAGCGTCTTACCCAAACGATGTGGTCACGGAGTACTGTGTCACAGAGCAGTTGCTCCTCCAGGCACAGTCACAAGACAGCCCCTCTCTGGCTCTAAGGATGGGGTGAAGGGAGGAGATGTGCTGTTTCTGGAGCATCTCCGGCACCTCGTAAGCGTGAGAGCTGCAAAGAGCAGGCAGCCCTTGCGATAGCTCTGCCCTGCAGCTGGGAGCCAGCCCCCCTTAGGCCAGCAGAGCAGCAGGTGACAGTCACAGCACACCAGGCCGATCGTGTGGTTTATGCAGGCTGGCTGGGAGGGCAGACCAGGACCTGCACAACAAAACTCCTCTCTCTGCCCTCAGCGCAAAGTCACAAACCCTCTCTCTTGTTTCTTCACCTCAGGTTGTGCTCCACTTTCACGAGCAAGCTTTTGTTACTGGATTATGAAGACCAACAAGGTTAGAAACGCCAAACAGACAGGGTGGGGACGCCTTGTTTGTTCGAGCAGCAAGGGCAGCCTGCCTTCATGTTACCCAAGCCCGAAGCTCTTTCTATTGCCCTGACAAGCAAGAGCTTCGGGAGCTAGTGCTCACACCCTGCTAACACCTCCTGAACGCTGCAAGAGAAGAGCCAGCATCCTGGGAAGCAGAGTTCAGCCTTCGACTCTCTTCAGTCCAGCCTTGGCCAGAAATGCCAGGCAGGCCAGTCCTTGATTACGCAGTCTTGACTTTTTGTTTTGTTTTTACATCAAGCAGTCTGCCAGCACCCGAGAAGTTTGGCAGAAGATGCCAGGCAATGCTCGCTCACTGCTGTGCAGCTTTTGGAGCAGCACCCATCCAGCAAGCAGAAGGCTGTTTCCTCACCCAGTATCCCTGTGCAGCCCACACAAAACCACGTCCTGATTTTAGGGTCACTGTTCCCATCTGGAGCCAGATAGTTTGATGGTCCACACAGTCTACTAGGCTGAAGGGCAGCTATAAACACAATATAAACATGGGGTTCAGCTAGCACACACCGAGACACCTACAGGTTCAAGAGCAGCTTTGAAGTCTGATGAGTTCATGGCAGCTTTAGGCATTAAGTGAGGCAGAGCAAGGGTAAAGGCGCAGTTAACAGCCAGGGAACATTTGTAAAAAGAATTACACCCAAAAGCAAAGGAAATGGTGATTAATCAGACCCAGGGGCCACCGTTAGAGCCTCAGACACCTCCTCCAGAGGGGCTAACAACAAAAGCAGCAGGAAACACTCCACACTCCACTGAAAATGCAGAACTGGAGGGAGAAATAACGCAGAGCCACAGAAGCTGAGAAGGGATTTCAGCCACACTGTTTCGAGCGCAACACCTGGCGCTTGGAACTAACGGAGAGAAACGCAGGAAACGCTACGGGGCCTTTAAAAGGAGCCTTGGGAGAAAAGTGGAAGCTTCCTTAGAAGTGTCTGAAGCGGTAAACCAGCAGAATAAAAGAACAAGAGCACCGGAGGGGGAATACGTCTGGAAGTTATTTGGGAGTTATGGACCTGACCGCTCAGCTGCTTAAAATATTTTGCAAGCTTAGGCACCTCATCACTGCAAGAGCACACCCTGCCCAGCAGAAAAAGCAGGCAAGTCTTTCCATTTCACCAGAGGCGAGGGCAACAACTCAAAGTGGCTGTACAATGACAAAATGAGCCCACGATGCACAGCAGCTTTCCTCAGGGCTCAACATTCTCAGGGTAGCAATGACACCCACCTAGGACTGTGTTGCTCACGGATAACAGACATCGCACGAGCACCCTGTTTGCAGGAAGGGGGTAATGGTGTGCCAGGCTAGTACCATGCCTTCCGACAGCTGCTGACAGGTTTGAAGTTCACTGTAGGCTGTATCGGGTATAATACACCCCCATTTTCTTTCTAACAGCACGATGTGGCATCAAAAGAGCACCCTTGAAAATGTACGTACATGCAGTAAACAGCCTGAACTGTGCGTGCAAAGCAGTTAAAAGCCCTTGCAATAACCTCACGATACTTTCAGCCTTGTTGCAGGAATTCCAGAATTATGTTTCAAGCTTTAAGTTGTCAGGAGCAAGACCTATTTGCCTGTGCTAAGTGACTTTTATCCAAAGAATCTAGCACAAGCATGAGGTGTCTTGCTCCACTGACCCAACCTTCATTCTTCCGATACAAAAAAACCCCCCAAAACCAAACCAACCCACACCACTATACTTGGGACTGTGACATTTATTGAAGGCTGGTTATACAATCTCATCCATCACATCCTCCTCACAACTCAGGTTCCCTAAATAAAAAGAATAGATGTAACAGAGAATTCTGCCCACCTCCGACTGCCTGAGCCACAGAGCACCGAGTCATCCCCTCTGTGTCCCGGGTGCTGTTTGCAATAGGCCAACTGCCACTTCTACTGACCTCAGTGAAAGAAGCAATGCTGCACAAGAGGGCAAGCAGCAGCAAACAGATCAGTGTGCAGCAGCAGGGGGAGAAGTGGAGATGTCCTGTTTCCAGCATGTACACGAGAAGTTATTTCCTGCAGAGAAAGTGTCTTCTCCTCTGTGCCTGAAATCCATCTACCACATAAAGTGAATCTCTGCTATTCTCGCCCCTAGCCACCATCCACTCGACCTGTGTCTCCAGCGAGCAGTGCTATGGTTCACACAGGCACAGCAGAGCCACTGCCCTAACAGCTGAGATGTCCTCTTACTCTCAGCTGGCACCTGAAAAAAGACTGGCTTGACTGAAGAGCGAGCCCCGAGCGTCCCTGTTCCATAGTCCAGGGCCTGCAAGTCTGTAACGACCCAGGCTCAGCCAGCCTAAAGGCACTGAAGCATCGCTGTGAGACCTGATTGATACAGCACTCCTGTGGTCAGGGAGTCACCTGGGCTACTTGTTCGTCCCAGGAGTGAACAGATGAAAACTCTGCTCCTGTTGCTCAAACTGCCTGGAAAGGGGCAATTCTCAAACCTAGCTTAATGGTCAGTGAAGCCGCTGCTCTGACCGTACATGGGAGGAATGCAGGTTTGTTGTCAAAAGTGTTTGGTTTTATTTGATTAAGAATTCAAAATGGGCTGAATTTTATTTTCCTCTGCTTTTACGGATGAGGAAATTGCACAGATTCTTTTGGAAAGGACTGATCTGGTAGGTAGAGGTGACCAGGCTAGCTATGGCTGCAGAGCCAGGCTCACTGTGGCAGCTGGAGGAGCACAGACTGTCCAGAGGGCAAATACGTGATGTTGCGGGAGCGGGAGAGCTGGTACGCGATGTCTTCAGCTGCCTCCAGCTTGCGCAGCTCAATCAAGCCATCGCCTGCAGTGGCCAGCGAGTTGGCAATCAGCTCGGCTGCTTTCGAGTCTCCCTCAGCAGAGATGACAGCTGCTTTCTTCTGCTGCTCAGCCTGAAAGTAAACAGATGAGAAGGGGAATAACCAACAGAGAAAACAAGAGCAAAAGAGAAGGAAGATGCTATTGTCATGTTTAAAATATAAATTCCCACTTCACCACCCTACTGTTCTTTTCCCCAGTAGAAGAACTAAAATAGAAGGTGGTTTTATTTTAAAGCTGTATTCTGTTAGACTGTTTTTCTGCCTACGGTGGAAAAAAGGTTGAAAAATCTTGAAATTGTCTTATCAGTCTTAACCTCATGAAACATTAACCCACCGAAGGGCACTCCTGGTGGAAAATTGTCTATGAAAGATTCGGGAACTTCACCAGTGGACTTAAAACCAGGTCAGATGATAAACACTTCTACTACTTAATCATCCTGGCTGATTACATGCATCTTACTGCATCCACTGGATTAATTTTGGGTGTAGTTGCAGGTTCTTGCAATCTCGACAGGCATGTGTTCTCAGCTGTACCAGGGTACTTCAACACAAAATTGTTCCTGTGGATGCTCACTGATATCCTGGGTTGCTCTGAGATGATGTGATCTTGCATGCAGTCAGTAACACTCCTAGGACACAGGCCTCTGTGCCCACGACATCAAACACCATGCAAAGCTTCGACCACCCTCTCAAAATTCACAAACGGCAGGATTGCTTAGGTTGCCAATCTCAACCCTGAACACCATTTCTAACTGACACTTCCTCCTGAGTGCTGTTTCCTCCCTCCTCCATGCAGACATTTCTGTTCAGCACTCCAATAAGACTGTGACACAATATTAAAAGAAAAAAAAGACCCCAAAACCAACCTTAGGCTTTATCTATCCGACAATCACGTGCCAGAGCTGAGAACCATATCATCATTATGACTCTAAGTGACTTCATGATTCAACCTGCCCAGTCTCCTGGACAGGTGAGATGTTCACTGCAAGCTAGAGTGGCAAGGAGCTACCAGGAACCGTTTCCAAGTTTCTCAGAAGGACAAGGTACCTTTTCCACAATGAATCTGGCTCTCTCTGCTTCTTGCTGGGCCACTTGCTTCATTTCCACCGCCTCTGTGAACTCCTTGCCAAAGGTCAGATGGGTCTGCAGGGCACAAACCAAGCAAAGTCCACAACGCTGACAGTTTACAGCAGCAGTGCTGCGACCCACGCAGCTCCCAGGGCGGGGAGGCAGCCTGCCTGTATCAGTGAAACTGGAATGGTGATGGAAAGCCAGTATCCCTAGAAGAACAGAAACTGAGACAAGCGGGCCTCCCCACCCAGTTTTGAAGTCTCAAGGGAGACACTACAAGCACAGCCCCAGTCCAGCAGGCCAGTAACACCAGTACCTTCAGAGACACACCACCTGGCACAGGGAGCACACTCGCTCAGCGTTCCCCTCCCAAGGCCGGGAAGCCCACTGTCTGCCAAGCCACCCTACACCTTTCATGCTCCGTTATGCAGTGGTGTGCTCAGCCTGGGCTGCTGGGACAGCTGCAGGCTGCTGGGATGGGACATGGGGAAAGGTGAATTTCCTTCAGGAGCGTGCTCAGGAGAAAGTACTGGAAACAAAGTCAAAACTCACACTTTGGAGAAACAAAGTCACCTTCCTGCAAAGACTTCCTATACATCCCTTTCCTCCAAGAGGCTTTCGAGGGAAGTCCCAGAAGGGAAAGGTGCACATACAAGCCAGATTACAACACATTTAATTTACAAAGCTTATAAGGAGATAGGAGGGGGAGGAGGGGAAAGCTCCTTCCTTGAATAGTCTTAAAAGAAGACACAGCCAGGAGAAAACCTAATACTTTGTAGAAAAAGGACGCTATCAAAAGTGGGTACTTTACCTCCTCATGCCTAGCACTTTCTCCCTGTGTCCCTGAGTGCTTGAGGAACAGCTGCCTTCTCTAAAGCAACATGCAGCCTGATCCATCACCCACAGAAGCATTTGCTCTTCACTTTCACTATAAAAGCCCTGCAACAGTGAAGTCTCTTGATAAGCCAGCGCAGCGGAGCCTTCAAGGGCTTGCTCAAGGTCACAGCAGGCCAGTGACAGAGGTACCAACCTGAGCTGTAACCACTGCATCCCAAGCAAATGCAGACAGACAAACATAGACTACGTGTCCAAACTTCCATCCCACTCTTCTCTGGCCATCCACCGATTCTCTTCTCCACCGCTCTTATTTGGGCACACTTCAAAGAGAAAAACCAAAAAGGGAGAACTCTTACCAAGGACACATCATCCAGAATGAGCCCAAAGGTTGCTGCTCTCTCCGTGAGGTCTTCGCTCACTTGCCTTGAGACCAGCTCTCTCTGAGTGATCAATTCTCCAGCATCAAAGCGGGCCTGAAATCAGGATGGACAGCAGTAAGAAGAAAGCTGCCAGAAGTGACAGATTCTCCATGCCCCGCCTGTCTTTGCACCCATGAGCCCCAGAGTTCTTCTCCCAAAGCTAGCAAACACCGAGCTGCCCAGGCGTTTGAAGTAAAAGACTGAAGGACTGGGAATTTAAATGTAAGGTGGAGGGGAGGTTGTCTGGTTAAGCACTTCACGTAAAAGCTGGACTAAAGCGGGTTAGTGATTATTTGGCCCTTCCCTGGGGACGCTTCCAAAACCAGAGGTCTTCAGTAAGCTGAAAGATTACATGAGAAGTGAAAATCTCAGTCTCCTGCCTGAGACTCCCAGCCTGAAAAGCAGAGCTAACAGCTGAGAGCAGGTAACAAAGGAACCTCCTTCCATCCAGAGATCACCTAATGTGAATCGAGTGAGGCCAAGCAGTCAGAATGACCAATAAACAAACAGTTAGCATAGCTACAATGAGCTTTTCTGGATGGCCCATGAGAGCCTCAGGGGTGGAAAGAGAAGTTTTAGTCTGAAGCATGACATATTCCACGCTCCAACTGGTCCCTCACTGCTAAAAAGAGGAAAAAAAGGTGACTGACAGAGCCCCACAGCTCTCACGCTTACCACAACAGACTTAAGGATTTCAGTTGTGATTGAGGGCAGGACACGCTCATCGTAGTCCTCACCGATACTGGTGAAAATCCGTGGTAACTGGGCAGTCACTGGTCTAAACAGGATACGCAACGTGATGTTCACATTCTGTAGATCTACAGAAAGAGAGTCGTGAGTTTAGTGGCAAACCACAGGGACAGGAGACATCCTGGAGCTGTCCCCTCCAGGGCAACTAAACGAGAAAGAATAAACATTCAGACTTCTTTTTGTGAGCAAAGACAAATTATTTTTACTACCCCTTTCACCTTGGGATCCAAATCCTCCTTACAGAGAAGATTTAAGCTTTAGTTTGCTTGCAATGCAGGGAATTACTTGCCCTACTGTAAAGACAGAAACTTTATGTTTAAAGGGATAACTTATAGGACTGAAGGAAGGGCCCTTTAATCTGTTCTGTAACTAAAAAGATAGATCAAACGATTCCTGACTCTGTGCCAAACTGGACTCAGGACACATGGGATCTCCACATCCAGAATGGAAAAAAAAAAAAAAGCATCTTGTTCTTTTACGGTTACAGCGTCCAAACACTCACCTTTGCTGCCAGTGATCACAGGAATGTTACGGGGGCGAGAGCGGCAGTCAAAAATGATGGGTTTCTGTACCCAGGGGATGAGGAAGTGGGTACCTTCTCCTACCACTGTGTCCTGGACCCCACGGAATCGGTCAAAGATGACAGCTCTGTGGCCCGCGTCAACTAGAGAAGAAAACAGCACATCAAGCACAGTTTCACTACTGCCATCTGTTGTACCTGCACACCACCAAAACCTTCTCCATGGAAACAGTCTATCGGGGTAGTTAAAGCCTTCTGCTTCAGGAGACCGGTGAAATTAATTAGTTCGTTTGGAGCAACAAGGCAAAGAGAAGATGCAGCCATGACTCCTGGCCCCCTCAGTCCGCTCACAATGACAGCAGCTAATTGACAGCTTTCTAGAGAAAGGACCTTGCAATCGTCTTGCTTGTGCAATGCACAAGGTATAAAACAGCCCAGCAAGGCTTCATGTCTATTTTCCCCCCATGTCATTAGCAATAAAAGCATAGAGCAACCAAGATACTGATAAAAACCCCAAAAGATATAAAGTGAACTGGAAGCGCTCAGCTTCTCCCACTCACCATTGTAAAGAGCAGAATTGACAACTCCACCTGCAACAGCCAACCCCAGGCCAAGCTTCCCAGGGCTTGCAAACACCTTCGCAGCCATTTCACACCTCCAGTTCCAGCCCCTTTAAAAAGTCCCTCCTGCAGAAACCCACAAGCTCGTTAAAACCGCATTAAGCAAGGCCAAGGGGCCCTGTATGCAGGTGCACACAGAGCCGAGGATTAACCTTCTCCAAAACACCCAACCTGCAGTGGCTGCGCTCCCCCAGCAACTCCTTCTCTCCCCTCAAAAGCCACCTCAGCCCTGCGGGCCT